CGATAAGCGAGATTGAATTCTTGGCGGTTCGATTCGCAGTTAAGAAGTTTAGGCCATATATCGAGGGATTTCACTTCGTAGTAGTAACGGATCATAGCGCGTTGACGAGGCTTTTAAGCAAGCGAGATTTAACCGGCCGACTCGAGCGTTGGGTGCTGGATTTTCAACAGCTCGATTGCGAGAGAGTGCATAGGAAGGGTGCCTTGCACCATGTCCCGGATGCACTCTCGCGCGAGTTTGAGGTCGAGGCAGAGGTCGGCGAATTTACGACAATCAAGGACTCTTGGTACCAGCGAAGATGCCAAGAAGTCCAGGAGCGGCCGGAGAAATATAAAAATTGGAAAGTAGAGAACGGCCTGTTGTATCGCTATATGACAGACTATCTGCTTGATCCAGTTACCAATCGTGAGGAGTGCTGGCGAATGGTTGTTCCGCTCGAGTATCGGGAAAGGATTTTGCAGGATGCCCATTGCGCACCTTCGGCCGGACATTTTGGACAGGACAAGACGTGCGATCGGGTAATAAGGGAATATTATTGGCCAGGGGTGCGATATGACGTGCGGACGTTCGTAAATCAGTGTCAGGTTTGCCAAAAATATAAGGTCGAGCAGAAAGTACCGAAAGGGTTGATGGGAAGACGGATGATTGAGCGCCCGTGGGTGGTGGTTGTGACGGACGTGATAGAGTTGCCGCGAAGTAAAAACCGATTTCGGTACATGGTAGTATTCCAGGATCTCTTTACTAAATGGGTCGAGCTCAAACCGTTGAGCTCTGCGGACGGAAAGTCGCTCTCGTACGCGTTTGAGGAAATGATCCTGTTCCGATGGGAAACGCCCGAGTACTTGGTTAGTGATAACGCGAAAGCTTATCAGAGCAAGGCGTTTCAGGATACGCTCCGAGAATATGGCGTTGAGCATGTGTTCTGTCCTCCTTACCATCAGCAGAGTGACCCAGTAGAGAGAGTTAATCGGACGCTGAAGACGATGATAGCTATGTTCGTGGACAACGATCACCGGACTTGGGACCGCTACCTGCACGCGGCAGTTAACACCGCGACCCAGTCTTCTACGAGGGTTACGCCGGCGTTCCTCAACTTCGGTCGGAATCCTCGGCCGGTGAAAAGTTTAAGGAGGGAAATAGAGCGGCGTTCTCCCGTGATGAGAAATTTGGCAGGACCGATTAGAAAGACTTAATGCTTTGCGAGACTTGGTGGGACGTCATATCGAGAAAGCGCAGGAAAGACAGAAGAGAGAGTATGACAAGAGGCGAAGGGACGTAGTATTTAGCGGAGGCGATTTAGTTTGGCGGAGGAACTACTCGTTGTCGTGTGCTCCGATGGGCAGGAACGCGAAACTGGACCCCGAATACACCGGACCGTATAAAATAGTAAGGAAAGTCTTGAACGTAATATACGAGTTGGAGACTGATAATAATTATCGGATCCCGATGGTCCACGTGAAGGACTTGAAGCGTTACGTTCCGCCGCGCGGTGTGGGCAACGAACGGCGACCGACCGCCGTCGGGTAATGAAGTGGACGGGTTAGATTGTATTTTCTTTTTTTTTTCTTTTAACTGTTTTTTTTATTACTGATTTTGACCAAAGAAAGACCAAATAACTAATAAGCCTTAAATTTACAGGATGGAGAACGAAATCACGGCATTGGCCGCTCTGACGGCCGAAATAGGCGTCGGGAGCGAGCCTTCCCCCGGACGAGGCAGGACGGCGGACCCGTAGCCCGAGAATACGGAGGCAAGCGTGGCCGAGTCTTCGTTGCCTTTGGCTCGGCCCGAGCAGTCGCTTGCCGGTCCCACGGAGGGCGGCGAGGAAGAGATGCTCCCAGATCCGTGCGACTTGGAGCGCACGACCGGAGAGGTGGCTCCCGGGACCCGAGAAACGCGGGGTACGCGGGTGCTGAGGCGGGCCGTGGCCATGGTCGCGGAGCTCTCGGCCTACCTGAGCGTGGGTCCGGGGTTGCCTGAGAAACCGGATACCGAGAGAGGAGAGGCGACCGGCTTGGTCGTCGATAGTAACGCGGCGGAATTGGAGCTAGAGGAGCTGCTGCTAAGGAGCCCTCCGGCGCAGCAGCAGGAGCTGCGGGGGGGGGGGAGACGACTGTGCGTGAATTCGCACGTCCGTCGAGCCCCGGAGGCTCTGCGGACCTGCCTGGCCTACCATCGGCCACAGCGACGGACCGGCCCCAGGAGTTGGGTTTCACTAACGGACGGCTGCAGTTGGCGGGGGAGCCGGCTTCGGGAATTGGAGCAAACTCGGCAACGGCAACGGCGGTGGAGCGGCCGGAGAGGCATGTTCATGAGCCTATGGAGTGGGTGCCGGTGCACCAGCAACGGCTGGACCCTAGATTCAGCTTCCGCCGCCAAGGGCCGCCGTCGAACATCCCGCCTGCCGGGCACCTGGAGGACGAGCGGAGGAGGACCGCGGAGGAGCAACGAGGCAGCAGCAAGAAAAAGAAGAAGAAGAGTAAGGCCCGGATTTCTCGGCGAGCAACTGGGTCTCGCCTCTGACTGAGGCCAAAGTGGAGGGATCGGAGCGACCGTCGACGAGTAGCCCGGAGGCTAGGATCGGCCACCACCGTACCGAGGACGCTAGGCCGGGAGATGTGTGCGTAAATTCGCACCGTTTCCATGGCGAGGCGTCCGCGGATGCGATGGCGTTGGGGAGGCGCACGCGTCGGCTGGAGATAGGACGGGCCCGTGGACTGCCCTGCCCCCGTCGCCCCAGGTGCGCGTTTCGCCTCCACGTTCCGTTGAGACGCCGGTGGCGAATGGCCATAGCGGCCGTGATGGAGGAGTCTCCGCAGAGCCTGCCCTGGAGCCTCACGGATTGACCGGTCAGGTGTCAGTGGCCGAGCCGCCGCGTCTGGTGTTCCGGGCTGGGCGGTGGATCCGGGAGACGGACGGGGCCCAGCAGATGTTGGGGGTTTTTCCCCATCACCACCGACTGGTTTGGGAGACGCATGAGGAGAGGTCGCCTCCGCAGGGGACTCCATGTTTACCCGCTGCTGTCCAGCCCGAGCCTGGGCAAGGCGGGGAGGAGAGGCCGACTACTTCGGAGGAGAGCTCGCGGCTCCCATTGCGGGATGCCTTTTCCGTCGGAACTCCAGCCGTAGGGACCGGGGAAGAGGACGTGGTGATGGGCCGTTTGACGGGCACTTTCCTGGTCGGCCTGAGCTCAGTGCCGTTCGACCGGGAGCTGGACGTGCGGCCGTTAACCTGCTTCAACTGCAGGACTGGGGAGCATCGCCGTTCGAGGTGCCCGGAGCCGCCGAGCCCAAGAGACTGCTGTCGGAATTGTGGACGCCTGGACGTGACGGTCGCCCATTGCGTGCGATGTGCTGCCGCTTACGCAAAGTATTTGCGGACTCAGGCGGGAGCCGACGGTGTAGCGAGGGCGTCTGGAGAGCAGCAGCCCAGGGAGGCGGATGGACCTCGACCGCCGAGTGAGAAGAGTGGAGAGGCTCGTGGCGAGGAAGCCGAAGATGGGACTGCAACCGAGCCGCGGAGGAAAAAGCAGCGGCGTGGTGGCCGTCTCCGAAGAGAGAGAATAGAGAGGAAACGAGCTCTCGAAGCTGAGCAGACCGGTCCGGACGCTGCAGTTTTAAGGCTGCGAGAGGACGCGCGACAAGAACACCAGGCTGCGAGTTCTCTTCAGCGAGACGCCGGGATTGCCCTGCGGCGCACTCCGCCAGGATCCGGCGACGATGCGGAGAGGGCTGATCCTGCCCCTGGTCCCTCTGAGGAGCCTTTTCAACCCCGAGCGGAGGTAGTAGGATCGACGCTTGGGGAGCCATGGACGGACGAACAGGCCGAAGAGTTAGGTAGACTGGCTGGGGCGGTTAATCCTAGCCACCCCACCACGGCCGAGTACATCAGGATGGTGCGGCTGCGACGCTTTGCGTTGCAAGTCAGCACACCTGATGCCCGGAGTACCGACTAAGGCAAATGGGGTGAGTAGTGGTGAAAGGTAATTTTAATTGGAGTAAATGTTAAGTCTGATGGTTGACGTGTGCGAGTGTTACCCTTGTGTTATTTCCGTTCAATGTCCCTCTGAATTCCCTAGACCAATGGCGGCGGTGCTGGGGAGGTCGAGGTGGTCGTCAACCAATGATCGGGGGTATCGTTGGACTTGGGAGGGGGTGTGACGGGCGAATCGCTCGTTGAGTTCGATCGCCCTGTTCGCCTCTCTCTCTCTCTTCCGCGTGCCTTCCCCTGAGCCGCTGCCACATCGGTCTTGGTTGATTAAAACCGAGTATCGACGCACGATGTGGCTTTGTTGCAGGTTTGATTCCTGATCGTCGGAGATACCTGGCGTTGGAGGGATAGGGCAACAGCGGAGAGCAGAGGAGGAGAGAGGGAAGTAGTGTCGCCGGCATGAGTCGCACATGTGTGCGTAGCCGGCGGCGCTCGGCCGTTTTTGAGTACCTATAGGGAGGGGGCGAGTAAGACGTCGCGGAAGGCGCGAGATCACAGTCAGTGTGGCTTCGACCAGCAATTAATTTGGAGAGTTGATCCTCGCGACCGAGAAGTGTGTGCGATAAGCATATTGAGTGAACGGACTAGAATAGGCCGGACACGGACTAGCGGTTGCATGCGTGAACTCGCATCGCCCTCGCGGAATTCGCGAGACAAGTTGTAAGGTGATGTTCTGTCTCCTGTGCGTTAATTCGCACGGAACGAACTTAGCCCGGACTCGGCCGACGCACACGTCGAACGCTGTATGTACGTTATTGTTGTAATAAAGTGTAAAATAGCTGAACTGATGAGTTCATTCTGTTTAACCTGTCTCTCTCATAATTAGTTAAATTGCGATTATCGATATTACCGGACGACATAGCCCTCGTTAATTTTCCGCAATGAAGCGAGTGTGCGTTCCGAGCCTTTCCCCTTAAATAATTTGTGACGCAACGTTGTTTGGGCTTAAATTATTAACGTACGTGTTATAATTGAATAGAGAAGGTTGTACTTTAGCTGACTTTCCTACAATGTATCAATCAGTTGAAACAGGATTTCCAAGTTCTAATGAAACGAATGAAACTAACTATTTAAACTGTGTATCTTCTGGAATTCGAATATCTTTACAACAAATGGCAGAACTAGGAGAGCAACGTTATAATACCTTAAATCCTCAACAAAAACAAATAGTTGACGTGATGTTCGAAGCGGTTCATAATTCTAATTATACTGGTCCTAGGTGCATTTATATGGATGGACCAGGAGGATCTGGAAAAACTTATGTTTATGAAACGTTATATTATAAACTAAGTTCTGAAAATATTAAAATATGCTCCATGGCATTTACTGGAATTGCAGCTACATTACTTCCAAATGGCAAAACTGTACATAAAACGTTTGGATTACCAGTACCTATGTTTCAAGATTCTTCTTCAAATATCAAAGCACAATCTCTAGAAGCTCAAGTACTAAGAGAAGTCGAAATATTTATTTGGGATGAAATTTCAATGGCTCCGAGATATGCATTGGAAATTGTAGATAAAACTTTAAAAAATTTTATGAACAATGATTTGCCATTTGGAGGAAAAATTATAATAGTCGGAGGAGATTTAAAACAATTACTACTAATTAAAGTTGGAGGCACTCGAAGTGAAATATTAAGTCTTTGCGTAAAATATAGCGCACTGTGGAAACACTTTATTAAATTTACTCTAATGACAAACATGAGAGTTTTACCAAATGAAATAGAATTTTCCAAATTTTTATTAGATGTAGGTCATGGAACATTGAATGATCAAAATGACTGTATAAATCTCCCTGAACATTGCATACTTCCTCCAACTGCTAATATAATTGAAAGTATATTTGGTAACTTAATTCGGGAAAAAAAATTTCAAGAAATGAGTAAATGTGCCATTTTATCAGCCAGAAATGTGGACGTAGACGATATTAATAAACAAATAACTAATTTATTGCGCAAAGATTTTGAACGTATATATACTGCTATTGATACCGTTGTAAATAATAACGGTGAATTAGACGACCTTATTTTACCAGAACATTTGCATAATTTAAATCAATCAAGTTTATCACCTTACGAATTACGCTTGAGAAAAAATTGTACTGTAATGCTAATTAGGAATATCAGTAATAATGAAGGCCTGTGCAATGGAACGAGATTGCAAATACTAGATTTATCGAATCACTTAATAAAATGTAAAATTTTAACAGGTGATAAAGTTAACGAAATTGTCTTTATAAATGGTATAACTTTGTACAGTGAAAAGGATTATTCATTCACATTCAAGAGAAGACAATTTCCAATCAAACTAGCTTTTGCAATGACTATTAATAAAGCTCAAGGACAAACTTTAAAAAAAACGGTTGTCGACCTTCGAAAAGCCGTATTCAATCATGGTCAACTTTATGTAGCAATGTCTAGAGTTAGATCTTGGGATTCTATCAAAATATATTTAGGAAATTATACACAAACAAGAAAGGTTAAAAATTATGTTTACAAAGAATTATTCTTGGAATAAATTTAAATTTTCAATAATCGAAATTACATAGTTAGTTGAAAAGAATAATAATAATGTTATTTATTTAATCATAATAATGTTACTTATGAAATATTTTCAGACAACACCTTTCTTAAGAAAATGAGCAGAAATCTCGATAGGACATTGTATATTATTCAAGAGAAATATGAAACTACAGCGCGCGTAGCGCGCTTGATTGTTTCTAGTACGAGTACATAATGAAATAACAGCCTCCAACATAATACAGAAATACCTAGACACAGTTCTTAAATGGTTTAACAAATGAAGGAGAATGATAAATGAAACTAAATCTATTCAAGTAACTTATACAAAAAAGAAAGGATACTGTCCATCGGTATACATAAATAATCACCCAATTCCACAAGGAGAGAAAGCTAAATATCTTGGAATGCACCTGGATCAAAGACTTATCTGGAGAGCCCATATCTGGATCGAACGAAAACAACTCAATCTACAAACGAGGAAATTTCACTGGTTACTAGGAAGAAAATCGAAACTGTCAATCAAAAACAAATTACTAGTATACAAATCCATAATTAAACCAGTATGGACATACGGCATACAACTGTGGGGCACAACCACAAAGTCTAACATCGATATCATAGAAAAATTTCAAAATAAAACAATAAGATACAGCACTGATGCACCATGGTATGTAATAAATGAATACTTAAGGAAGGATGTCAACATTAAGACCGTAAGAGAAGAAATAGAATTAACTTGTAAAAAATATACCAATAGGATAATGGAACATCCAAATCGTCTAGCAAATGAACTAATTCATACAACATCAATAGTCTCAAGATTTAAAAAGTACAAAACGCCATTTATTCATAATTAAAGGAGCACGGCAATAGTATTGTATATTGGTACAGAACAAGTACCCTCATGAAATTGTATCAAATATTTTTGTAACCAATTTTATAATTGTATAATAAAATTTACTCATTGTTAGCAGACAGATTGTAAATAAATAAATTGGAAAAAAAATATGCATACACTGCCGGTCAGTCACTTTTACTCCCCCTCGAGCAAAATTGCTTGAACTTGGAAGTTTCATATTTTTGGTCACAATCATCGTACAGAGACGAGAGGAAGCGCATTTGAAAGCTCTTTCCAAGACATGTTCACTACACATTACACAAACAGTTGTTCACACTTGAAACGCTCGCGTTCGACTAGTTTGCTCATAATCTTAGACACAGAACTATTTAAGAAGGTACCACATTTCATATGGTGAACGTTCGTATATAACTTTATTTGTAAACATCTGAGTATACAGCATGTTGGGTACTTACTAAATAAGCCTATGATTACTGGGTGTGAATACACACACGTATACTCACTTCTATAGCACCTATCTCTATAGCACCGGCTATAAAAACAGCGATGACAAATAATTGAAAAACAACGTTCTTGTGAGGAAAAAAAATGGGAACAAGTTTTTAAAATCTACAATTTTTATTTTACAAGAAGACAATTTCACGTTGCAGATGAATATTTTACTTTTTTTTTTGACCGACCATAGAAAGATGGATAAAAAAAAATATTTTTTTTTTAATCTGAAAAAATTTTACAGTATTCTACATGAAAAAAGAAACATTTTCTTTCATGTACACTTTTATCTAGGATGTTTATTTACAAAGTTATAAAAAGTTGAAAATACGTGTCAATTTTCAAGAAAATTTCTCATACAAGGATCATATTTGATGGACAACATTTTTTGACGAGTGATTTGGATAGGGTTTGGAAAAAGAAAGAAAATGCTGTGCTCAAAATTTTCCAGGAATTTTTTTCCTAGAATTGATAAGTTATCAAAGATAGACTGAAAATTTCGGAATTTTCATTGATGGATATTCGATTGAAAAAATTGGAAATCCGATTTCATAAATTTTGCGATGCATATTATTCGAAAGCTCTTGGAAAAAGCTTTCAAATGCGCTTCCGCTCGTCTCTGTACGTTGATTCTGACCAAAAATATGAAACTTTCAAGCTCAAGCAATTTTGCTCGAGGGGGGGGGGGGGTAAAAGTGACTGACCGGCAGTGTACAAAACATCTTTAACGGCATTGTCGGCATGTTCGAGTAAGAAGCTGTCTGGCGATGCTAGGTCATCCCACCCCTCGTTGGGTGTGTCAAAAGCGTATGCGTTGAGAGAGGTGTTCATTGCATCGTTGACATGTTGAAGTTTTTTTGTTTCTTCGTAGGCTGTGTATATAGAACTTTTTATGAAGTTGTTTATCTCGATTATCTTGCAAGCTGCAGATATTTTTTCCAGGATTTGGGTAAAATTGTAATGTGAATTAAGTACTGAGTTAACGTCAAGAACGGTGATAATATTCCGTTTTTCTTGAATAAATCGTATGTTAGGTCCTTTTTCAAAAGCGATTCCAGGTTGATTATCATATTGTTTTGTAGTTGGCTGGTTTTGGCATATAACGGTAGTTAGTAGACTGATGAAAAGTACTCTGGGTAACAGGATTTTGCTAGTGTTAGCTGGAAGAGTTGTTCTTATTAAAATTTTTGTCTTGCCTTGACAGCAATTTTGTTAAAAAGCTCAATCTATTCCCAATTGTCTATTTGGTTAAAAATGTTTATTAGTGTGATTGGGGAGGTGTTATTATTTCTACGGAGCAGGAGGGGTGCCACTCGTGGGAACGTGTCAGAAGGATCATTAGTACTAGGTTTAAGTAGCTCGCTGAGCATTGTATTTTTATCTTGGACGTCACGATGATGACTAGTGGTGTAATGTGTTTGTGTAGGGGCGTTTTTGTTAGTGAAATTCTCAAAGATGCCTCTTATCTCTGCTATATACTTTATGGCTATATATTTCATCTAAGCAGTTAGAGTAGTGTTCGTGAAATTCTTTTGAAAAGCGAATGTTTTTTGTTCGGAAAGGTAAGGCTGCTTATGCCGGGTGGTTTAGGAAATGAGTCTATAGGTAATTCGAGGTTGGGGTACTGTCGGACGACATGCCGCGTTTTAAAGCGAGGTCTCTTTGAACGGCAGATCTCACAAGTGCCAACTGCTCCGCCTCAACGGGGTGACGCGGTGAACACCCAGAAGGGTGGCCAAAAGGCGGCTCTGGCTAAGCTTGCCAAGCAATAAAGGCCGTGGTTAGCGACCACGATAAAAAATGTCGAACTTGAACGCGATGAACCCCGTTTTGACCCAACGACAGAGTTTTGAAAGATCTGACTTTGGGACGGAACGGGGTAAAAACAACCTTTCGAATGACGGATACCCACCAGCGTGAGCGGGTTTGACCGAAACGCAATGGGGAGACATGCCCCGGCACGTCGAAGCGATGGACCTGTGAGTCGTGGGAGAAATTCCTTAATACAGGAACGCAGGGTGGGATGTATTTTGAACGCGAGCCCAGGAGGGAAGGCTTAGTTGGTGATCGACTCAGGAATCTTCCTCTGGCTGTCCTGGCTGAGTCTCTCCTCTGACATCCCAATTTGGGTTGGCCTCTGCGGTGTAGTGGTACCAGGTCAAGCAAATCTCGTAAGATTTGTATGCTGCGTGCTTCCGACGCAGTAGACGTTGGGGCAACTAGAGTCCCGTCGCGCCCAAACCGAGGGTCAAGCCTTTAGTTCCGCTCTCCTTGAGCGTTGAACCTTGAAAAGATCGGTACTCCTCTCGAGGAGGTCGCCGCCTTAGATGAAAAAGGTTCCGCCTCGCTGTGTGCGTCAGGGATGTCGCAGCAAACTTGACTTCCGGATCTCCAAAATGTTTGAAAGCGAAGGAGTGAAAGACAGTGGGCTATGCCAACCTGATTGGTGCCCAGCGAGAAGGGTGGTAATGTTTGATTACGCTGTGCCACCCTCAAATCGGAAAAGTATGACAACACACAAACACTAACTGTCGGACGACATGATGTATGCAATCTGTACATTTAATGCATCGTATGGCGTATGGTGGTTTGTGAGAGTCAATGATTTTGACGTAGACAAGGTTATATGATAATTGTTGTTGTATGGGTAGGGTCCTATAACAGTTTGTGCAAGTATGTGAAAAGTTATTATTGACGTAATAAGTAACTTCTGCTTCCATTAAGTTTGTCTTGTTATGCAATGTGTTTTCAGTACGAGGTACTTTGCTGGGATTGAATGTTTATTAGTGTTATTTTTGTGCATTTTTGTGGAATTTTACAGAAGGAAATTGATAACAGGTAAGGTCTTTCAGAGTTTGTAATTGTAGAGTTTGTTAGAAGCCGGTGGCTACTGCAATGTCTTGTAGTTACTTATCGGTATCCTAAAAAAGAAAAATAATGCAAATCAGTTGTTTTTGTGTAATGTTCAGTGTTGTTATTTTCTAAAAGACTCTAATATGGGGCGGATTGAATTTCTTTTGATGCGATTGATGTCTATTAGATTTCTTTCTATCTGTACGGCACGTAAGCGTGCGTCTTGTAATTTGTCGTAGAAAGTAAAAGGGCAAACGTAACGTCTGATTTTATGTTTGAGGCCCTTAATAAAAATGTAAATAGCTAATTTTTCTCTCTAAGTTTAGTCTTCTGTAACTTCGAATAAGAACATTTGCGCGGCCTTTCCCATGACAATGTATTTTTGTAAATATGTCAGTTTCATGTATGTAATTGTTTGACCAAGTTTTCTACGTAGCTTTCGTAGGTCGGTAATAAATCTTGCTCTAGCAGGGACTCTGCACTTGGTAGGCGTGGCTTATGAGCGAACGGCAGTTCCCATGGCAAGAACTGGTGGCTGCTGTGCCAGCTTGTATTATAATTAAATATAGCAAGTTCGACATACTCGTCCCAATTTTTGGTCTTGGTAGTGAACATTTTTAGATATTCAATTAATGATAAATGAATTCGTTTAACATTGTTAACCTGCGGGTGATAAGCCTTTGTAGTAATATGCTTGATTTTGAAGCGAGCTGCTATACGTCTATGCTTACCTTAAAAAAAGGGACAGGCGGAGTATCGGTTATGATCATTTTTTATTTGACATTATGTCT